GATAGACAGACAAGTCTTCCGCACCCCTCTAGCAGGGTGCAGGTTGGGGCCTCGGGACAAGCCCCTTCGCCTCGACATCGACTCCAGGGCAACAACCTCCGAGGGACTGGGTTTAGGCCCTTGAGGGCAGGCGTTCAGGTATTTAAAGTTAGTTAACTTAACAAAAAAATTGAATAAAAACACAATATTTACAATTAAATCTACCTTAAAAATTAGTGCCATATCTGGGGATTTTTTTAAATATATTTTTTCGATATTTGTCTGTTGTTTTTTTTATGGATGGCGTATTGAACATTTACAGAAAATTAATTTTGGGGCGTACGTTTCTGAGTTTTGTTTAGAGCATATGTATACTCATAATTAATAATGTATTTTCTTTGAAAATTTCTACGTTGTGAAATATTTTTAAAATAATATATAAAAAAATTATATACCAAGGCAGTAAAAACTACAAGCATTTCTAATGTATGTTATTAACTTTTACCGTATTATATTGTAGCGTTTAATAAGAAACATGTAATTACTCTAACAGTGTCTGTTTTGTGTCGTCGTAGGTTGGATTGTTCTCGAAATTAGGTTAATTACAAGAAGGACATGTATCAAAAACATTAAATTAGTTTGATATTACGTGTATTACAAAATACAATATTAATTAATAATATCAATTCAAATTATCTCTATTTACAATTAATGTTTTAACATCATTCACTTCAAATAAGGGGCAAGACATCTACTACTTCTATAATTATCATTATATCTATACACTTTTAGTCCTATCGGTACAATTAGTTTAAGAAGATTTACAATACGATAGAAATAAAAATTGAAAAATCGAATAGCATTGTATTAGTCAAATTATCGCCAAATGGGGGGAAATGAATTACTACTACTATACTATACTATAAATAAATTATAATTATATATATATAAATTATAATAATTATATACTATATATAAATAAATATACTATAAAATTACTAGCAATGTACCATGTCAGGTTGACCTCTACGCAGTTCCCCCTGGAAACCATCGTGATAAATTCTTGGTGAATTTGTCACGATGGGCTGACTGACCTGACCTCATGCTCATCTCCACTGGTGGCCCGCCAGCGTAAACCTTAGGGTGTAAAGCGCAGGCGGGTGCAACATTCCATTATCATCCACAAAAAATAAAAATTTCGCCAAATAATTATATAGGACCACATGAATTAAGTTTGAAACTTCCTAAATTTATTTAATCTCATTAATCCTTTGGAATTTACTTAGCAAATTACTTAGAGATAATTATATTTACTTAAGTATCTATCGAGACAGATACATCTTATATAAACTAGTCTGAGTGGCTACCACTGTCTTAGCTATTTCTGCCGCCAACGAGTATGCTTTGTTAGATACAAAGATAGGATAAAGAGGTCAAACTCCTGAGTTCTCTGAATGGGAATGCATGAAAGTTACCATAGAAATGTGAAATGGTGATGGGATATCCGATAAATTATTTATGTCTACAGGCGTCTTTGCCACTTTCCATCGGGTGATCTTAAGTCTTGTCATTACAGTTGTATAATAAATCTCAATGTACCTAATTTCAAAAAAGAAAAACATTTTTATTATTTTATTGTTTATTTTCTTTTACAAGTGTAAAGTTTACAGAATTACCCCAAACATCTTTTATGGAGTAAAGTGCTATAAAGAAAACTCAGAAATAGACAGTAATTGTTACTTCAAAGGGTTATAAAAGCTAAAAAGTGACTGTGAAATTGAATTTGAGCTTTATTTAAGGTGGATATTATACTATTTCACAAAGGAGTGTTATAAATAGAAACGTCGAGCTCTTATTTTCTTTCGACATCTCCGAATATCGGAATAAATTCTAATAATCTATTATACCCGGGTTTGTATTCTTAAGATATATCCCTCTTTAGTAAATGTAGTAGCTATATATATAATAATAACAAGAAAATATTATTAGTATAAAAAATATATATTTTTTATACTCGTATAACTTATACATATACATGATACATGGAAATTGTTAACTTCTGACAGTAGCTATGTTATATAGATATATATAATAAGACCACGAGACTATTCCCGACGGTTCTTTATTATTCCCGAGGATTTAGGTGTTATGTCCCTGTACCCAGTAATTTAAACAACACAACTCAAAAACAATAACAAACACCGTAACTCATTCAAACCGGATATAATTTGCAATGTAAATTGCGTGGTGATAGAATAAACTATAAAGGAGGTACTAAGTCAGATATTTGGTATCGGAAATTTCTATAGGTATCCATATGATTATTTTATTCTAGAATATCACTAGTTGTAAGTTGTAAAACTCTTCAGAACCTTCAACAAAATGCAAATTTTAATTGTGTTACAAGTTGTTAAGGTTCTCCTCCAATTATTTATAGGCCATGTTAGTATTTTATTATTACAAGTTTATAATGTATAATTGCCCATAAATATACAATTGTTGGAATTAATTCGCTACACTAAAGCTACAATGCGCTAACGTATTCTATGTATTGCATATTTGAATTTAAGAATATTTTCCAATTTGTTCAGCGATTTTTAATACAACAATTAGGTAGACAGCAATATTTCATTATTATATTATATTACAAATTATATAACATTTAGATTTATCATTAACTAAATATTAAAGACGAGGACTGTCTCATCATATTATAAATGATAAATATGCTATTTGTGTCTGTTTATTACCTTTTTACAAACAAATGGATGAAAGGATTATAATCAAATTTAACGTGAGAATAAATTGTATTATGTGGACATAAGACAGACAGACAAATATAAACTTCTTGTATAGGTATCTTTTTTATAAAAAAACAGGCGAAGTCGCTGGTAACACCTAGTTAGAAATATTTGCAACAGACAGATTTGGAAAAAACTTTTGCCTACATGAAGGCATCTTTCAGTCGATTTCTACTAGTTTATTTACCAAAATCCTAACATATTTTCACATGTAATTCTACACTAATATTATAAAGAAGAAAGACTTGTATTTTTGCATGTCTGTAACAGATAAACTAAAAAACTACAGTAGAGATTTCTAAAATTGTTTCACCATTGAAATATTACACAATACCTGAGTATCCTACTAAAACTTTAATAAAGTAATCCAAGGTACTCGGGGGGGCTACTAGGATGTAATATTAAGAGAATTGCATTGCAATAGTTAACTCTTTCGCACCATGTGTATACAATCGTTTGACGTTCAATAATCTGAGCTTACGAGAGCATGCAAATTGCGAACTGCATGCGAGGCGGAAGTAATCACCGAGTCCTTCACGGTCTGTATGTCACCCATATAGACGATATATAGGCACTACAGATTGCAATAAAAGATAGCAATGATCATACTAGTTCAAATGTATGTGCATAAGTTTAAATTATAAACACTAAGCATTACAACACAGAAATTACAAATACTAATATTCAAAATTGCGAAGGTATGCAAAAAGGTAAAAAACACAGGCATTTTATCTTGACAACGAAAGAAATACTTAATTAGCATTTTAAATATTAATACACATATAAAACACCCAGACCACCAATATATCCAATCCAAGTTTCATGATGCTAAGAATCGAATCAGATTCCATTGGAAACAAGGTGCTATGCGGTTAGGCATTAATTCTTGTTAAATTGTTTAGATGTTTTTAAGTACCAAGCTGACGACCTCCTAATACCTTTGCAGGACCTACATGATATATATCACGGACCACAAGTTATCATGTGACACCTGTAGTACTACTACTTATAAGGTGCCATTCCGAAGGAATAAGATGGTAAAGAGAATACAGGACAAAGGAATGAACGTAGTAATTTCTTTAATATCGTCGCCATATCTCACATTTGAAATGAAATACATCTTTCATACCAAGCTACTTGGTGGAAGAAATAGGTGACACAAAGATACTCTGGAAGACGACTTATTACGAAAACAAGCCCGGTGCGCTCTCTAACCTGGAAATAATTAGAATCTATTTACTTTACTATTCTTATACATCCTTTCACTCTTGATTATCTAAAAAAGTGCTTTGTGGTTCATGACGATTCGCAAGACTGAGAGCTGCGCTATTCGAGACGTCTTTGTCTGGTAACCTCGGCTTCTTGTACTGACTTCTTTTATTCAATTATAAATAAAAATAAAGTAATAATAATTATACTGGTGGTAATAATAATAATTAAAAATACATTATAGGTAGGTATAATCTTTAATTGTCGATATAAAATAAGTATGGAATTGTTATAATGTATTAATGTAATTGTTAGGTTTAGTAATAAAAATTTGCATGCCTATTGAAAAAGGACATAATACAACGCTGACTGCTTATATCACTGTGGCTTAATTGTATATATAATATATATATTATCTGTCTACAAATGATTATTACTATTTTTTTTCTAAATATTTTTTCTGTACACAATAATGAGTTATATTATTAATATTACAGTAATTCAGTATTACTCAGTAAGGTTTTGTTAGATTTTATTCTTGGTCAATTATCTTTCACTGGTCATATTTACCGTTAGCGTCAACATAAGCACAATTCCATTATTATTCATAAAATGATGAGTTAGTATCCTAAGGTCTAGTTATCAACATGACAAAGTAGACACAAAGTCAATATTGAATATATGATGTTAGATTTCATATTGTTTAGTCTGAATAGTATTCCCATATACAATTTTACCACGTAAGTATTTCGATGTAAAAATGATAAAAATGGCAACCAGTCTAGTCTGTTAGACACTGTGTTTGCTTTTAAATGTGCGTGTCATGTGTGAACACTGATTTCTTCGTTTACTAATACCATTTTAGGGCTGAGCACGCCCTATTTTGATTATCTATCGGCTGTGCCTTTGTCTTACCAGCCAAGGCTCATTGCATTCTACAATGTCATCAATGATGCAAGTTCTGTCTGATATTCCATCAAGTCTTGATCATGTGATAGAATTAATGTAAACATGTTTAGTTGTAGTGTCATCACAGTTCTGTTGTTATTTATCGTTTCAATTATTGTGTCAAAAAATGTTGAAGGGTAAGTTTGCATATATTTTATAATATTCGTTTTGAATAGCACTAACTTATAAATTTGGGGTAATATTGACATGATATTCTAAAATTAAACATTATTCGAAATAAATAAGCTTAGGTAAAAGATCTATTTAAGAAGGCCTTTATAAATTAGATCAAATATACGGACTATGATAATAATATTTTATTATGGTATCTTATAAAAAAAAACTAAAAAACTTAGTGATAAAATGCGTGTGTATATGTATAATATTATTATACTAACTTGCGTTATATATTATGTATTTCTACATGCAAAGACGCCCTAAAAATGACTAATTATACTTTTATTGTATTAGTTAATTAGAATGTATATAAATAACTCCTATGATTAATAATTCTACTTACTTATTGTTTTAATAAAATTGCATCATTTCCATCAAATTATATCTACTTACAACTGATAAGATACATGACTAGATAGCACTATCATCCAAACATCCTTTAAAGTTCAAAATTTTCCAGAATCCGCAATTCCAAAAACACATGCTCTGTAAAAGAACTTATAGTACAATATAAGTAAAATAAACATGAAATAGTAAAGTCATAATTCATTTTCAAATTGTATTTCAGTGGTCGTGCCAATTTATCGTTAGTCAATATATTCTAAATACTAAATAACAAAGACTATAAAATATAAATAGGTATTTTTACATTTCATCTGTTGTTTCTGAATTATTTAACTTCATATCTGATTGTATAAATTAGTTATTGTATTTTAAATAATATAATTTACGTAATACATTAAAAAGTTCAGTATAGGTAACGTTACGGACTTGGGGAATTATATTCAGTCATTCATTGATAAACTGACAGTCATCAATAGTATAAAAGGTGAAAAATACATCTACACTGTGCGTAATGTTTTATGCTATTATAATTATATTATTAAATGGTATAATTAATATTAAAATAAAGACCACTACTGTATTAGTCGTATTAAAAGTGATAATTGAATCAGCCTGTGTTATTTAATGTTTACAGATATCAGCCTGTACTACAAAAGACCGTAGAAGCATTATTCACAGATAAATCTCAAGTTATTTATCCTGGGGCATGTAAATTAATTACGCCTTCGTCTCGACAAGCAAAAATGTGCAAAAGGAACCCGAGTCTCCCGAAATTCTTGCAAATAGCAAGAAATCAAGCAATCGCCGCTTGCGAGGAGGCTTTTCGCTATGATAGATGGAATTGTTCTTTAGTTTTCAACAGGAAAGTGAAAAGGAATATTTTTAATAAAATATACAGAGAGACAGCGTTCGTTCACGCATTGCTAGCGGCTTCTATGACTCACGCTGTGGCTAAAGCGTGTGCATCAGGAGATTTGACACGATGTTCGTGCTATGGCAGCTTTGGTAAAAATTCTTCTTGGAAAATTGGCGGTTGTGGCGACGATTTCAAACAAGGAAAGCGTGTAACGAGAAACTTCTTGGAATTCAAGCAAGCCGGTACCGACCAAATTGGTCAAGTTCTGAAACAAGACGTCGTAGTTGGAATCGATACTATGGGAGAACAAATGAGGGAGGTCTGCAAGTGTCATGGTTTTTCCGGATCATGTACAACAAAAACATGTTGGAAGAGGCTTGGACCATTCAACTCTGCAATGGGATTATTGAAAAAACATTTCCACCATGCCGTGAAACAAAAAATCCTTAACTACACCGTCAAGAGGGCAATTACGCCGAAATTAAGAAATAAACTCAAAGTTGATAGGACGAAATTAGTTTATCTACACAAAACACCTAATTTATGCATTAGTACAAAAGGCAGAGTGTGTAAGGATAGAAATAATTGTGCCACTTTATGTTGTGGTAGAGGATACATCACTACTAAAAAGACGATACACTTTAGATGTAGATGCAGGATGGCGAACTGCTGCGCTGTGCAATGTGATACTTGTACTCAAGAAGTAGATATTTATACCTGCAAGTAGTAATTTCAATATATATGTGGGTAGGATCTCATAATATAAGATTGGATTAAAATTTATTTCAATTCCTGTTGTTCTGACTGACTCTCTAGTGACTGAAACATAGATAACAAAACCAAAAGTAAACCAGGAGACTGCGGTAGGCTTGATCCCTAATAGTTTTGGTTAATATATAACATATATAAAAATGTTGATATGTGATGTGTTTGTTCAACACGGCGTCGGCAGTTCATAATAAGTCTGACTACCCGATACGTGATAACAGTCATTAAGGTTATTATTATTATTTACTTTCTATTAACAAGAGCTATTCTATTCTGAAACACTGTAAATAAGCTAGTAAAATGAGAGTGTAGCAAAATTACAGGTACTTGTATAACGAAATTGTTTAATTTACGAGAATTGAAATGGTAATTTTCTTTTATATAAAACATGAAGTTATTTTTTTTTATTTAATTAGTTTTTTTTATTGACTAAATAAACTACTTAACAAGCTTTATATGTGGCATTTAAAAGATAAACACAATTCGGCCCGTATAGGTACAAACTTATTGTTAGGTAGTTCACAACCGTTAGATAATTCGCCTCGCTATATCCGTAACCGCATAGTGGAACTCTCCGTAATTAAACTGTATCTGCTCAATCAAAAGGAATGTAATTTGGCTATTTTTGAATTAGAGTAACCTAAATTAAAGGTATCATTTTTTTTTTATATATTATACTAAGTAGACTTTTAATAGAGAGAGTTTACAGATGTGCTCCGTATTAATTTTATTGATCGTATTATACATTTTTCTAATCTCGATTGGCTACTTTTGATGAAAAAAGTTTGAACTTTGAAAATAAATATCATTCCCCTGTATCATCTTTGGCGCAGAAAATCTGGAAGAATTTCGATTAGTAAGGGCATATACGAGTAATACGGTATGTATAAACATTAGGGGAAGGTCTATAGGTCTACCATTAAATGCGTTCATTCGAGGTGATAAGATTTTGAATCTAATGAACTAGAAGCACTGTTTTATTAAATTATATATACCTATATATTTGATAATAATCGTAATTTTATTTATCTCAATAACTGTTATTTAGTATTACATACCTATTTAAAAAAATGTGAAACCGAATACATCTACAAATAAAAAAAGCTAACATCACTATCTACCCTTTTTGTATAGTACACGGTTCATTTAGGCCTACCCCTTAACGAACCTATATAATATATACCTATGAATGACTATTAAGACAATTACCTACATTGAAAATTGCTTTGATAATGTTTGAATTTTAGTAATACTTTTTTCATTTCAAAGAACAGTTTTCTAGAGATATTTCTAAAATCTACAACTAGCGTGTATGTGCTTTATACTGTGAGGAATAGAAAAGAACTTATTGTGACAACAATAATCACATTATTTATTCCATACAAAAAAATCGATTTAGACTTCTTTTTTATGAGTCGATGGATTTTCTATTATTTTGTTTAATTCCGCTACAATTATCATGTGTGATACTACAAATATTCGGTGTGGAAACCTGACCAGCGCTACGACCTTCTCTAATGGCGATCAAATTCCGACCGTTATTGAGTCTACACCCATATCGCGACAAATGTCTCGCCTGTGAAGGAGGCATCATCAGATGTTGAAGAGTTCGGGTACAGCTCAGAAGCCTAGTGTTGACTCATCGGCGACCAAACCGCGACCCATTCTTTTTTATGTCCCTAATTATAACGGCAAATAAGTAGATGGTCTACTTGATGTCAAGCAGTAACCTTCGCTTGTATACCTGAACAGCACTACGGACTTCACGTTATTATGTGACACCCGTGATATCACTCATGTGTTGCCAATCCAGAGTACTAAGACATCATGCTTTTTATGCTGTAATTTCACAGCCTCATTTGCATCCCGTAACCGAAATATAGCTTACAGAACAAGCTGTTTGGCAGTTAAAATAGGCAGACGACTTTTTCAGTCTACCTCTGGTTGTTATATCTTTTTTAAGAATAGGCACGAGAAACATTTAAAAGATATCAAAATATAATGAAAATACTTTAAATACATACATATACAAAAAAGAATAACATGGAATTGAATAATCAGACTCGTGCCTTTGGTCAGCCAAAGAGATGTACGAGGGAATGTTTAGTGCCATCTATGTAATAAACGGGAGGACTTTAACTTAATAAACTTGGCAGCGAAAACTTGAAATAGGACGTTTGATTGTTACTGAATAAAGTAAGTACATATAGTAGTAAAGTAACCTAACTATATAAACCTCTATAGGCGAATATAAATTACTACAATATATTGTATATTTAAATTTTTTTCCTTGTCATACCCACGCCCAAAAAAGGTATCTCTTTGATTTAGTTTCATAAAATATCTGTTTATCTGTTAGCGGTTCTGAGATTTATCTGTTATGGTATTCTTAAAATCTGAATATTTTTTGAGTTTCTGTATATAAATACACAAATTTAATTATAAATCATCATCAATTTTGAAACTTATTGCCATCTATGTAAACGATACAGTAGTAATAGCATATTTTGAAATCTGCTTATGCGACTCTGTCTGCTTACGAGTGTAGATTAAATAGTTCGATAAATATACAACAGATGGCGCTGAAAGATATTTGTCAATATTGGTAAAATAAATTATAGCATTGGTCTGTTATATATCGTTGTGATAATAATAAACTAATACATTTTATATGTCTCTATACAGAATAATGTATTTAGTGAGAATTCGGATTAAAATCGTGCAAAAAAAAAAACGATTTACTATGTTTTATAGAGACGTGACTAATGTAAGGATGGTAGGTAAGGGTCATATACCCAGGACCAGATGTATAATAAATACAGAGCGAATCAAATATAGTCGAAATGATAATCTTATCAATAGATGGCTGACAAAAAATGAAATAGTATCTAAATTAGAACCTACTTAAGTTATTGACACTAAACTTTGCATTATGGAATATATAGATTTACTAATAGAGATCTGGTAAAAAAGAGACTTACCAGCGCATATCTACATACTCGAAACTTACTCGAGATCATTCAGAAATAATTCTGTTTATTTAAAATAATTAAAATCGTTGATATTGTTTTTTAAATTACTTAATAAAAACCTTCAATGTTAGATAATATTTTTTTCTTGTGACTGTATCTATCTGGTATTATTGATTAAAGCTCTGCATACAAATGTGTCCACTCGATTGAGTCGCTAGTCATTGGATTGTGAATGATCATACATGACACGTTCGCTCGGCAACTGAGGGAGCACACTAAATAAATTTCACCTTTAGGCCAACCTTCTCACAATATTTGAAATGTCAAGTCTGGAACTGATATACAGTATGATTATTTATTGTAAACATGTTTTTAGTCATTTAGTGTTTTTGGTTACTCACCCAGACGATTTTGGAAAATCTTAGTTATGTTAGTACAGGAAGATGAGCCGCTTGGTCATAATCTATAAGAATATGTTATAACCGAAATTTTCTAAAATATCTCACTTTCAACTATTTTAGCCGCCAAGCAGCCTCCTTTGTAAGATATGACAGAATATAACGAGAGTCGTATATTTACATCTTACTGTCCTCTTCGTGGTGCTGTTGGATGCAGGCGACCGTTACCACTTACTATCAGGTGGGCCGTGAACTTGTTTACCATTCAATTTCATTATGACATAAATTACCAAAAATTAACTCATCCTGATATCTTCTCTTGTACTGATGTTGTTTTCTCTTACATGTCAGTACTATCAGCTGATAAATAATACAGCACGCTACAGCCAGCTGACTATTGTTTTATCTTCAATATATAGATTTAACTATGATTTAATAGCAAATTCAATCAGGAGGAAATATCTGAATTTGTTTCTCTTTTACATGTTTGCGAGAGTGCTACTCTTCAACCTAACCTCGGAAGGGCAGAGTTTCACTAAACTTCATAACACAATTTTCTTAACCATGTTAGAAATAAATAACGAAATAAGCCCCTGATCTGACCTCATTCTTTCAGACTCTTCTTATCTTCCCTTAGCTTATACCTTTAGCTCAGACTGGTGTAGAATTCTATTATTTTTCATTAAAAAGAAACTTGGTATCCACAAATTACAGCGACAAGCAGTCACAATATTTACGGTTAAGCAATTCATGCGGCAATTTGCAAACATAATTATGTCTACCTACCTAATTGATTACACTTAAAACTTCGTAATTCACGTTATTCAGTTTGCATATTGACATACTAAATAACACATTACTAGTCATATTAGTTTATTGCATACTTGTAAATGTATTAAGCATTAAATTCGAAGATATGTTGAGATTTAAAGTCAGTTTGTTATTTAAAGAGATCAGCAGAGAAAATCGACTCGTCGGGTGCTCTATTCATAAAATAAACATGCTTAATAAAAAATAAACATACTTTTTTATATGTTTATTTTTTTATGAAAAATTTATAAACAAAATAAGTTGTCTAACTTATGTTTCAATAAAATACCAGCCGAGTCTCTTGTGCGGTATTTTCTGCAGATTTTGCATTCTTTGTGTGGCGATAAAAACAAATATTATTAAAAAAAACGCACATTAGTTACTTGAATAAATAATATTTATATTTTCTAATATTATAAATTATTTAATGATCTGCCTGTATAATATAGCTTTATAGTCTGAAGTCTAACAGTCTGAAATGTATTATTATTTTTATATATGTTATATTTTCCAATCTTTAAACGTCTATCTAACTAATAATCGCAATTAGTGACTAAAACGACCTAATATATATATACTATGTTATAATAGTCTAAAGAAGCAATAATGTGATGATTATAACGCCTTTAATTGACTCATAAAGCTGACGTTCGACCACAAAATTGCGGTTTGTTCTCTATACCAACACATGTAATTACCACGGTTTTAATAAAAAATAAAATCGTTCAAAAAACTATAGCTTCGAGTTTATTTAGTTATTGGCCCTGCAGCGATGTTTG